ACGGCTACTAATGGGCATAGAAGACTTTTGGCCTCTAGATTGCTGGGTCAAATACAGCCTGGCTTTGAACTCCAAGCCCATACTGTATGACAGCTGTTTGGTGGCTTATGGCATGTGTGAGTGTAAGCAGAGTCAGGATGAGCTCCACCCTGACATCTGGTGGTGAGGTGTGGCAAGTTGTGGAAAAGAATTTCAGGGGCTGATCTCATTTGCATAAGCACACCCACCCCACCTACAATGAGGCCACAGCTGCCCAAATGGTCACTTTGGCTGCTGTGGGATCCTCAGTGTCTCTGTTATTGGGGCAGGAAGAATAAGTTGTTATTACCCTGATTATGGGAATCAAGGACAGTGGAACTGTACTTGGCCTTTTGTTATGATGGAGGGACTCACCATCAATTAAGTAGCACTCAGCTAGGCAAGGGACATGGGTTCCAAAACTCTGTGAATAGAGAGGCTAGGAACAGGTATTAATATGTGGTGGTGTGAGGGCTTTATATGCTAATTGCACTTCCTTCCTTCTCCACTGTGGAATATTAGAGCTAATTTTAATTCTATTAGGAGTCTAGTTACAGGCTACTGAGCTGAATTCACTTTGGGCTAATGGTATAGCAGCACTGTGGCTCCCCTACTAGAAGCTGAAATCACTGAGTGTTGTGTTAAGTAGTAGGGGAGCCTGAAGCTATATGGTAGAGCCGTTTGCAGCATGGTGAGTGGAGTGGCTGGCGGAGCAGTTCAGTTTGTGGGATGGTGAGTGGAGCAGAGCGGTTGGCAGAGCAGAGCGGCTGGTGGAGCAGAGCCCCTTGGAGAGGTGGGGCCATCAGTGTTGGACCACGTAAGGTGCCCCTTAACACCCCCTGCCCCAAACTCCACCCAGGTTGGGAGGTAAAAACTCTGCAGATAAACTTTTGAACTCTGGGGCTGCCCTGACCAAGGACAGAGACTTTTGGGTCATTGGACTCAACAACCAAAGGGAAAGGACATGCCCCAATTTGCTGGGGGTGGGTTTTGCTCGTGGGTTGTGTTATGAATCCTGTTGGTGGTGTTTCCCCAACATAATGCCACATTGTTTCTGTTATTAAAAGGCTTTTTGCTACACTCAGACTCTGTGCTTGCGAGAGGGGAAGTATTGCCTCTTAGAGGCACCCAGCAGGGGTGGTATATATTTGTCCCAGGTCACTGGGTGGGGGCTGGAGCCAGTTTTGCATTGTGTTATTGGAATGGAACCCCTAGATACTGAACCTGGCCCTTGTTGCTGCCAACTCTGACAGGCAGAAGGTTTACATGAGTTTGCTGTCTTGCGTCAGGCCACAGCAGATGAGTGTATACAGCACAAAATAGCTCTTGGCAATTAGCATTAATCCCCTTTCCCGCATACACACACCTTCTCCTTGCTGGTGATCTGCTCTTGCACCTTCCCTTGAAGCATCTGGCACTGGCCAGTGATGGGGTACTGAGAGACAGATCTCGGGTCTGACCTAGCTTGGCCCTAAGGGGATTGAGCTTGGTCCCTGGGAGCTTTGTCAGTGCTGCCATCTCTCCAGACATGAGGATGCATCTTTTCATATGTGGGGTTTCTGTTACAGCCCCAGTTCCTGGAGTCAGGTGATTCTGTGGGGCTCCCAGCATCCATTTAACAGGGAAGAGAAGTCTCACCCTCGTGGCTGCCCAGAAAGGCTTGCAAACATGACTGCAAAGACTCCAAATGTAGAGGAGAACCGAGACTCCAACCTTAAAAATCTCATGATCGTTAAACCAATCTTAGGAATTTTGGAGGAGCTGAGACCATTTTTGAATGCTTGGGGGTGACACTATTTCATAGATTTGAATGCCAGAAGGGACCACTGTGATCATCTAGTCTGACCTCCTTTATAACACAAGCCAGAGACCTGCCCTGAAATCATTCCCAGAGCAGAATTTTAGAAAACCAGCCCATCTTGACTGAAAAATTGCCAGTGATAAAGAAGCCACCAGGACCCTTGGTCAATTGTTCCAATTGCTAACGCCCCTCACTGTCAAAAATGTACACCTTATTTCCAGTGTGAATTTGTCCAGCGACTGTTTCCAGCCTTTGGAATAAACTTGGGATTGCTCAGTTCACATATTGTTGTAGAAATACCACTGGTTGACTGACTGTGCCACCGGGAGCATGTATTTTTTCCCTTGGGGTGGGTCAGGGCCAAGATATTAAACAAAGAGTGAAATAGCCTCATGGACTGAGGCCTGCTCAATGCGCAGCTTGTACTGAGGTATCTCTGGGATGAACATGCCAAGCAGACACCTATGATTCCCATCAACCCCCTCTCCACTGGCCAGGTAGGAGGAGAGGGCAAAAAATCAATGAAAAGATTCTGCCGCAGGAAATGGGCGTGTTCTGTTGGGAAGTTGGGTGGCCAGTTTTGGTTGGCTGTATTCTTGGAGGTTTCCTCACATGACATAATCTTTAATTAAAGATTAATCTTTAATTCCTGGAGACTCCAGGACAATCCTGCAGATCACAACCCTGTGAAGCAGTGACTGCCTGGCAGCAGGGAGCTGCAGAGAAGCTGGATGCAGAGAGGCACACCCAGGAACTGTACCCAGGGCCGCGTGCGGAACTGGCTGCGAGTGCCAGACAGCACAGCTGAGTGCAGGTCTGTGCGCGGCAGCAGCAGAGGGGCCCCAGTGAGAGATGCCAACTGAGCCTGGCGGGGAAACCTGCAAGCTTGTTTGCTTGACTGGAGACTGGAGTGGTGAGGGCACTGTAGGCACCAGCCCTGAAGAGCCCTGCCTGTCCCGAAACAAGAACCTCTATTGCTCATTGTGGACTGTCACAGCTTATGCCTCTTGGCACCCATGGGGGGCTAGTGCCTACAAACCCTAGCTGCTGATGCATTGACAGTGCTTGCCTCCAAGTCCTGGCATGGTCAAAGCATCTCTAAGGGTTGGGGTCGCCAGTGCTGAGCAGCCCCAATAATTACCATGGCTACAACTGTGGGTAATTTACTGGCACACTTATACTGGCACCACCCCTAGGGCAGAAGTTATAAAAGTGCTGTGAGGGGGTGGCCTGGCTATTTAAGGGCCTGACCCCTGCTGTCACATGACCCCAATTAGTCCTGCTTTCATAGGCTGGGAGGCCACTGATTATGGCACAGCCTGGGCTGATTGAACTAGGGCTGGTTAGACCAGGTCTCCTGGCCTTAAAGGGGCAGGTACCCTGGCACAGGTGTCTTACACCAGGGGAGCTCACTCCCCTTCCCAAACAGGGGTCACTGTCTCAGAATAAAGCACCATTACGCTGGTCTGACTTTGACAAGTACAACAATAGCCCACACAAACCTTACAGAACAAAGTTGAACCTCATTGAATTAAGTGTCAGTATTTTGGGAGGCCAGTGTATTGAAAATGCAAATGTTTCTGCTCTTATTGGGAGATGGCAAAGGGGGAAAGCCACGATTAATGCAATTGTAGGAAGACATTAGGGACGTCAAAGGACTTTTGGGGGCAATACATCTGAAGTGGATTTGCTGGGAAATCCACGGAGGGGCAGGAAAATGCAAACAACCCACCTCAAATCCCTCCTTTTGCAGCGGCACAGTGAGCAGTGACCCAGTGTCTGTCTGATGGCCTGTTCAGGATCTCTTCACAGGCCCAAATGGGAGCAATGATTGACTCAGTCACAGGTTGTTCTCTTTCTGAGCAAAGTATGACAAATGTGTAATGCCAGGGTGGCTCCTGCCAGCCCCATGCTAGAGGGGTTGAGCTCGGATGAGCTGAGTAGCAGGCACGTAGGTTCTTTTACGGTTTGAATGTTTTCTCTGTAGTGCCTTTACCACAAGAATAAAATGCGCTTGCTTAGAAGAGCTGAGTGGTACCTTCTAACTGTGGGCAGTTACGCTGTTGTTAACCGACGGCGAGAAAGCAAGCAGGCCTACATAGGCAGTCTGATCCTGAAAGGATGGGCCAGGACACATGTGAAGGGGAAAGGTGGGGAAAGCGCTCCCTGCTGGGGGATGACTCCCCTCTCTGTGCACTGTGAGGGAATAACACTGTGCTGCCTAGCAAGAGAAAGACACACATGGGTCTCTCCCTGTGAAAGGCAGTGGCTGGGGAGCTAGACAGGGTTGTCCCTAGCTATTCTGGGGCCCTATGCAGCCCCCCCGCAAGGGGGGCAGGCCTCCACAGGGTGGGCGGGGCTTGGCTTGCGAGGCAGGGCAGAACCACCCCCCAGCACTCACTGGCAGCACAGCTGGGGCCGGGTTGCTGCACTTCCTGCTGCTGGTGAGGGCAAGCCTGGCCCTGCTTCAGTCCTCAGGGGAGTGGGGCAGAGTGGGGGTGGGAAGGGGCAGGGGCTTTGGGGAAGGGGTTGAGTGGGGCAGGGCTGGAGTGGAGCAGGGGTGGGAAGAGGCAGGGCTAGGGCAGAGCAGGGGCGGGGGCCATGGGGAAGAGGCGTGGCAGGGGCTGGACAGCACACAGCTGCGCAGGGCACCAGGAAATTTGGAGCACCAAATTTCCCGGTGCCCTACGCAGCTGCATACTTTGTGTATGGGTAGGGACCGCCCTGGAGCTAGAAGCCTTCGGATGGTGGCCTGGCTGGACTAAGGAAGGGAAATACAGGTGCAGTCGCCCCAACTAGTGACACTAACCAGGTCCACACTGGTGGGGGTCGTGCCAGGACTGGTAAAACTTCTGCTGTAGCTGAGGGCTCAGAAGCTGAGGCTACACCCCAAGGAGAGCCCCAGCCTGAAACAGGCTAAGATGTTTCTGGTAAGCAGCAGTACGACCGCTTCCCCAAGCAGTGGGGTCATGGTGCTGAAATCTCAGCAATCTCCCTAGTTGGGCTTGAACAGACGAGCCCTGGCTCTGGCCAATCCAGCGCTGATCAGTGGTGATGGTAACACCGGCCATACAGAACAGAAAGCTCCTGTTACATGTGCCTGCCACCTCCATGTCCCCCAGCAAGCCCTGGAGAGAGCCGCAACCTACACGCCTGCCCCAGCACAGTCCAGAGGGACACCGACAAGAAAGTGAGTTTTATTGATTAAAAAGCCCTGGCGTGGGAGAATGGAGTCAGCACTGGAGGGGGGTAATAGCATGTCCCTGGGTCCGGATGCCCTGTCCCGCCAAGGCCTGCTTCCTCCTCCTCCCCCCTCCGGAATCTGGAAATCTGCCAGGATGGAAATAGGAGCGAAGATGGGGAGAAAACCCCCCGCTGGCAAAAAGAGACCCCACACTCCCACCCTTGGGGTGCCCCTCTCAGTGCTGGAGAGAGTGCCTGAGCTGGAAGGACAGCCCCCTGCTGGGACAAGGGAACCAATCCCATCCACCCCTCCGTTGAAAGGGTGCCCTCCTGAGCTCTCAGCACCCAGCCAAACCCGGAGAGAGTGTGCCCTGCTGAGGAGCACGTGCCCCCCAGGGTGAAGAGTGCTGCCCATTTCTTGTACAGTGCCAGGCATGCTGGTAACTGAGTGGTGCCAGTACCAGCAGCCACCACATTGGCCTCTGCCTGCCATGCCTGCTCCTTGGCACTGTCCAGGTTCGATGGGGAGGGAATGGTGCACGCTTCCTGAGGGAGATGGCAATGCTTTCTTGAGGACATGCCGGAGGAGAGATTTCCACCCCCTTGGCGAAGGAACCTATGAGGAAGACTCTGGTCGGTGATGAGGAAGATGGAAGAAGCAGAGGATCAGAGGAGGGGAGTGTACAAAAGATGCCCTTGCCAATGAGCAGGGGCAAGGTGCCTGCGGCAACAGAGGGCGGGCAGGAAACTGTCTAGTTGCCAGGGGCAGGGGCACTAGAGGCCGATGGAGTAGGCCCCCGAGTCGGTGGATTGCTTCTCATCGTTCCGGCCTCCCAGCATCTGGCTGCTCCTGTACACGGGGCTGTGGCACAGGGTCACATCCGTCACCTGCAGGGGGCACAGAGCCGGGTCAGTGCCCACCACAAGGGCATGGAGTGATCTCTCCTTGCCCGACAGCCAGCGCTCCCAACCCCACTCCCCCCAGTGCCCCCTTCTTGGAGAGGCTGGGACTGGAGCAGCCGGAAGCTCCCCCCACAGCCAGCGCCCACCCTGCTCCCTGCAGCACCCCCTGCTGGGAGACATCAGGACTGGAGTAGCCAGGAGCACCCCCAGGAGCCTGCACTCCGCTCTCTGCTGGGTATGCCAGGCTCCACCTCCCTTGGACTCACCTCTTCGAACTTCTTTGCCTTGTACTGCTCTGCGCCCTTCAGGAAGTTGAGGAGGATGATGTCGCACAGCACAGTGCCCTGCAGGGGAGGGGAGACAAGCTGAAGGGGGGCCCAGCCAGGCTCAGCAGAGGGGGTGTGTGAGTTATTGACATAATCTGGGACCATATAGATCATTGTTGCAACCAAGGTCCTGTAGTGGCACCAAATCTTGTATGAAGACGGTCAAATGAGGTGTCTAAGACAAGGTTATGGTTTGCTGGTTAGGATTATGCTGTCTATATGTGTGTATCATTTTGTACTTAAAGTTATGATATTGGCTCTATACTGTCTGTATTTACAAACTTGTGCTATGGTTCTGGGGAACACCCTAGACAAGTTGGTGTCAGCTCTGCCTAGCCTGCTTGATGGCCCATTAAGGACCATCAACTATACAACTGACCCATTGAGAGAAGGCAGATACGCCTTGCGACTCAGCAAGGTATGCAGGGACCTGCCTATGGACAGAACTCTGAGGTGTTTCCAGGCCATGTGATGGACAGCTTGTCTTTGGAACAAAGAAAGAGAGACCGCATGGCAAGAGACTATAGAAAGCTGCTGCAGCTCCTCCATCTGGTCTTCAATCCTGCTTCTTACCTCTGGAGGAACCTTACTACGCTGAAGCTTTGAACAAAAGTCTGAATGACCCATCCCAGCTGTGGATGTGCTCCAGAGACTTGATTTGAACCTGCAGTTTATTCTATCACTGCTGCAAGCCTGAACCAAGAACTTTGCCATTACTGTATGTAATTGATTCCATTTCAGCACTTCTAGCTCTCATCTATATCTTTTTCCTTTTATGAAGAAACCTTTAGATTTTAGATTTTAAAGGATTGGCAGCAGCGTGATTTGTGGTAAGATCTGATTTGTATATTGACCTGGGTCTGAGCCTTGGTCCTTTGGGATCGAGAGAACCTTTTTTCTTTTACGGGGGTACTGGTTTTCATAACCATTTGTCCCCATGACGAGTGGCACTGGTGGTGATACTGGGAAAGTGGAATGTCGAAGGGAATTGCTTGTGTGACTTGTGGTTAGCCAGTGGGGTAAAACCAAAGTCTTCTCTGTTTGGCTGGTTTGGTTTGCCTTGGTGTGCTTCAAACCCCAGCCTTGGGCTGAAACTGCCCTTCTTTAAGCAATTTGTCCTGAATTGGCACTCTCAGTTGGGTCCCGCCAGAACCAGCCTCGTTACAGCGGGGCCTTCCTTTCTGGGTGTGGGGCCGTCCCCAATCACCTGGGGATGACAGGGGCCCAAAGGTAGCAGGGCAGGACCCACAGGCCAGGGGGACTCTGGGAGCAGGAGGCTGGACATGGATCCTTAGCCAAGAGAGGCTGATGAGCTGGCTTAGCCCTTCCCCTTCAGAGCTGGGCTGAGCGCAGGTGCCCGGACTCGTGTGTTCAGAGCCTACACTGCTGGAGCATCAGTAACTTCTCTCTGGGGTCCGGCCACCATTAGCAGGGACAGAGCCCTACACTGCGTGTGGTGGGTGACAAACTGCTGAATGGAGGTTAGAGCACCTCCCGTGGCATCGCCATGGTGCCATTTTGGATTCTCCCGGGCCACTGCCATGGTGCCATCTTGGATTCCCCCTGCACCGTTCCACAGCACTGTCTTGGATTCCACTGTCTTGGATTCCCACCCTGTTTCTATGGCACCATCTTGGATGCCCCCGTGCCATCACCACAGTGCCAACTTGGATTCCCCTGTGCCAACACCACAGCGCCAGAGCACCTCCCGTGGCATCACCATGGTCCCATCTTGGATTCTCTCTGTGGTTCTGCTGTCCCTGGCAAGCCTGGATTTGACCTTTGACTCAGGGCTTCACTAAGCAGCGAGGAGGCCTGCCCAGATGAGCAGCTCTTTGCTCGGCCCAGGGCCTCCCTTTTCCCTGCAGCCCGGGGCTTGCTCACCCTGGCTCCTGTGGAGCAGGCGGAGGGGAAGAAGAAGGAGGCAGAGAGACTGTTGCACTCACCACCCCGACAGAGGTGAAGGCTGCCACGGTGTTTATCAGGGTTGGGATGATGTTGAATTTCCCAGCCTGAGAGGACAGAGAGTGGAGTTAGTGGTTAGGGGAGGGAAGGTTTGCCCCTAGGACGCCACATGAGGGGGGGCCCCCTCCTTCTCCTGTACAGGGTGGTGTAACCCCCTCTCCACAGCCAGCCTCAGGATCTGTGTCCCCTCCCCTCCTGCCTTGTGGCTTCTGTTGGGCACGTGAGTCTTAGGACTCTTGTCCTCCTTCATTAAACATGGCCACCAGGTGGCACTGCATCTCCAGATGCATGACCACACCCAGCCAACTCCTCCTACACCCCATGGCGCTTCGGCAGGGGCTTGAGTCCATGCGGGGGAGTCCTCCATTCTCATTGCATAGGGAGGAGGGATAGTGAGGGGCCAACCTGGAACCCTCCTCACCAACAAGAGGTGGGGTGGCGTGGAGAGTCAGGCACATGGGGGCAGTCCCAAGCCTGGACCACATGGAGGTGAGGAGGAGCTCCAATGTTTTGATTGGCCAAGAGCTACACATGCTCACAGGGTGGTCTCTACAAGCCTTGTATAGACCCCTCAGACACATTGGTGATTCCCCATCAGCTCCCTTCCCCTGTCCTAGGGCTTCAGTGCTGGTTCCTCGCAGTGACCCTGCTGGCTGCCTGGCCGTACATACGTTCCCGTAGACCAGCACATCGAAACGGATGCCGAAAGCCTTCATCAGGGTCCGGTACTCGGTGCCATTCTCTCGCCTGTAGTACTTGGCATACCTGGGGGACAGGGAGAGGGACTGTGACTTGCCATCCCCTGGTCCCCGCTGCACCAAGGTGTGCACACCGACGGGCGGCTGTGTATGAGGGGGGTGTGACACACAGTGTGTGGAAGAAAGGGTCTGGTATGAAGGTAGTGGTTGCGTGTGTGTAGCAGGGAGGGTGTATGTAACTCGGTGAGTCAGTATGTAGGTGTGGGTGTGTAACTAGGAGAGTGTGTGTAACAGTGAGTCGGGTGTATCTAGTGTGTATGTGGAGGGCAGTGTGTGTTGTGTGTGTAGTTGGGTGTATCTGGTGTTTTAGTGTGTATCTGGAAAGCAGTGTGTGTACTTGGGTGTATCTGGTGTGTCAGTGTGTATGTAGAGGGCAGTGTACATAGTCAGGGGTATGTGCTGTGTCTGTGTGTAGCTGGAAGGTACAGTATGCCCGTGTGAGAAGAGGTACATGTGCCCAGAGAGTGTCCAAGCGAGTGAGTTAACCCCAGGGTCTCACACAGCTTTTTCCTTGTGTTTGCATGTGTGCATGTACACCCTCTGTGCTTGCCTGAAGTTGTAGCCGGGAGAGACGTTGTTCTTCTCGGAGACACTATCAAGGCGGGTGAAGGTGTAGCTGGGCACGCAGTGCTCCCATGAGCGATCCAGGTCACACACCCACCCGATCTTGATCCCCAGAATTCCTCCCTGTGCACAGAGATGGGGTGTTAAGCCAAACTACCCCAGGCAGCATCATAGAGGGGCCACTACGCCGGGTCACTGGACGGACCCCTTCCCCCATGCTAAGGGACTGACCAAGGCCCCAGAGTCCCCTGCAGCTCCCCGCTTCCGCTGCGTGTTGAAGGACACTCCATGGAGATGGTCCTAGCTCACATGCGCCAACACACATGTGCTCTCTCCTGGCATGAGGCTGTCAGGCCACAGCCCATGGGGGAAGCCGCGAATCTCACCGTGGAGGCCAGCTTGGCAAAATCCTGGCCGGCAAAGCGGACGATGTCGCCCAGGCGCAGGATGGGGCAGAAGGGCTGGGTGACGGGATGGAAGCGGCACGTCCGGATGTCCTGGGCCGTGAGGTTGGGCAGCAGGTTACCCCTTGGAGGGAGGGAGACACAGAGAGGGGACTGTGAGAACAGGGTCCCATGGGGAAAGCCCATCCCTAACCCCACCCCATCCATAAACCCAAAGCCTACTCCCAATCCTAACCCCCTTCCATAGTCTCTAACCCTAACCCCAACCCCAACCCCAACCCCTGGCTGGCTCAGCCACAGGCTCCCCTGCTGTTATTCCCAGCTGGAGGGAAATCTTGACCATCACCAGGAGGAGGGTGGCTCCAGGAGCTGGGAAGTCCTGTTTATCTGCAATGCAGCCGCTCAGACACACACAGCCTGGGGGCATGGCTCTCTGTGAGGCAGAAGGTCCAATCCTCAGCTTGCCAGATCCTGTGCTTGGGGCAGGCTCAGATGGGGAGGTAAAGGGGCTTCAGACCTGCTTTGCACTCGCCATACTCTGGGGGCCTGCCTGGTCCTTAGTATCAATTAGAGCAGCCTCAGGGCTGCATGGACCTTACTTTCTATGGCCCATGGGGGGCAGATAACAGCCACAGTGCCATCACCCCCAGTCATGACCCTGCTTCATCTTCTACGGACTTGGGGGAAATGGGGGGGCAGAGAATAGCCACAGCACAGAGACACCTGGCCATGCCCCCGTTCCACCCCCTATAGGCCCTGGGGGGCAGAGAATAGCCACAATGCAGTTCCATCTGGCCAAGCCCCCAATCCACCCCCTATGGGCCCTGGGGAGCACAGAATAACCACAATGCAGTGCCACCTGGGCCATATTTCTGATCTAGTGTCTGGGAGCAGGGTGCATGCAGGGCCCTTGCCCCAGTCCCATGCCAGCTGGGGAGACTCCTCCACCATGGGTCCTCAGGGGTCATTTCCACCCACCTCAAGGCCCCTCTACACTGCCAATGCAGGGCAAAGCAAATTCCATGTCCCTGAGTGTCAGCCCCTGACCCCAAGGTGAGCTGAGGCGGATGGGTCCTGTACACACCCCATGCAAACGCCCCGAGTACTCACTTCTCGAAGTCAAAGAGCGGGAAGCGGATGCTGTTCTTAATGAAGAGGGTGAAATTCTCTGCCTCCAGCATGATGGGCCTGCAGGGAGAGTGCCCCGAGAAATCACCCACATTGGATATAGGCAGGGGGCTGTGGCCTGGGGCCTGCCTGGGTGGCAATGTCCCATTCCCATCTGCCCCCCTGCTCCTGTTATTTACCCACCGCAGCTTAGAGCTCTTTGTGTCTGTGGAGTCTGTGCAGCTCCTTGCACAATCAGGGAAAGCTGTACATGGCCTGGGCTGAGGGGCGCTGATGTGATTGAGAATAATCCTGTCGGGCTGGATGGGCTCTGAGGCCAGGTACAGTGTGGATGGCAGTAGCTTGAGCTCAAGGTGACTAAACAGTAAAGATCCCTTTGGGCCTGTGGGGCAGAGCATAGTCACAGCACAGTGCCACCAGGCCATGGCCCCAATCCACCCTCTATGGACGCTGTGGGGCAGAGCACAGACACAGCACAGTTATACCCGGCCATGACCCCAATCCACCCCCTTTAGGCCCTGTGAGGCAGAGAATAGCCACAGCACAGTGCCACCCGACCATGGCCCCAGTCCACCCCCTATGGACTCTGTGGGGTACAGCATAGTCACAGCACAGTGCCACCAGGCCACGGCCCCTATAGGCCCTGGGGGGCAGAGCAGAGACACAGCACAGTGCACCCTGGCCACGACCCCGATCTGTCCTCTCTTGGCCCTGGACAGCAGAGAATAACCACAGTGCAGTGCCACCTGATATACCACATCCCTGCTTCACCCCCTATGGGTCAGAGAATAGTGCACAGTGGGGTCCCCCCTTCATGTCGAGAGCTGAGGATGTGGGAGGCTCTCTGCACCTGACCATGCGGAACAGGTGACACAGCCAAGCACAACTGCCACCAGAAGGTGGCCCTGGTACGGCGCCCCAGACTCCTCTAGGTGCCAGTGACTTCCAGGAGGGCTCTCAGAATGGGGACCCCTACGCTGACAGAACAGGGTGATGAAGCGGGGAAAGGGGGACTGCCCCGAAGGGCCCAGCTTACGCCTGGACGGTGTCCACCTCAGCCGGGCACCAGCCCTGGATCTCACAGGTCCACAGGCTCCTGTTGTAGTTCACACACCGGCCAGTCAGGATCCCTGTGGAACCGCCCCCCATTTATTAGCATCACAAACCTCACTCCCAGCCCCTCCACCCTGCCTCCTGTGCCCACATTGGTCCCTGCTGCCACCCCCACAGAGCCCAGATCCTGCAGAGAGGTTTGAGTTGGCTACCACCTCCCAGCTGGCCGGCCTGGCCTTTCGATCACGCCATGGCAACTCCTGATTTTACATCCAGATGCAGCAGGTTCAGACACTGCCAGACATCAATCCATCCATCCACCCCTTCTTCTTCCACTCATCTATTCTTCACTCTCTCCTCCCTCACCGATCCCTCTCCCTCACCCCACAGGCTGATGCTGCTCCCTCCTGGCCATCGCCCCATACTAGGGCATCCACCCACCATTCCCACATGCTAGGCCCTAGCCTCCTGCTGGAGCTGCTGTGTGGTTCTGGGTTCTTACCGCCTCCTGTAGTAGGGACAGGCCTCTGGCAATCACTGTCAGACACACAGCTGTACTTCACTTCGCTCTGGAAAAGGAGAGCAAGGGGGAGGCAGGCAGAGGGAATGAGCCCCAGGGACAGACAGGCAGGCATATAGATTGCCCCCCCTCCTGCCACCGCTCTGATGGTGGTGGGGACCCTAAATGCCCCAACAGCGGGTACCTCAAGGCAACCTCTCCAGAGAATAGCTTCACTTTCTGCTGGGGAAGATCAACCCTTCTTCCCCTTCCCAAGCCCTCCCACCATTCTCCCTCACTCCTCACCTGCTTACCTCAGGGCAGAAGCCTTGCACCTGGTTCTCCGTGACAATCTGCTTAGTGATGATCACGAAGACGGACGTCCCCTGCAGAGATGGGATGGGGTCAGAGAGACAGGATAGGGAAGGGCGCAGAGAAGAAACAGAGCAAGTGAAACAGCCAGGAGCTAGGGCGTGTTGAAAACTGTTAAAATTGTGATTGATCACTTTAAATTCTCTGGGATTTTTCCAGGCCCGCATGCAATCAGCATCAATCTGCAGAGAGCCCGCCTAGAGTAAGGTGGGGGGGTGAGTTGTGCTAGATAGCAGCCTGCTTTGTTTCGCTCTGCTTTTGGTTTTAGTATGTTAAGGTTCTGAGTTCTAAGAAATAAAACCCTGTTATGTGGCAGCCTTCCAGCAAGAGCATTTGATAATTTTATTAGGGCTGTCAAGCAATTAAAAAAATTAATCATGATTAATCACACTGTTAAACAATAATAGAATACCATTTAAATATTTTCGGATGTTTTCTACATTTTCAAATACCTTAATTTCAATTACAACATAGAATACAAAGTGTACAGTGCTCACATTATATTTATTTTTGATTACAAGTATTTACACTGTAAAAAAATAAAAGAAATAGTATTTTTCAATTCACTTAATACAAATACTGTAGTGCAATCTCTTTATCGTGAAAGTTGAATTTACAAATGTAGAATTATGTACAAAAAACCTGCATTCAAAAATAAAACAATGTAAAATTTTAGAGCCTGCAAGTCCACTCAGTCCTACTTCTTGTTCTGCCAATCACTCAGCTCCAGTCTACACTATGAGTTTAGGTTGAATTTAGCAGCGTTAGATCGATTTAACCCTGCACCCGTCGACACGACAAAGCCATTTTTGTCGACTTAAAAGGCTCTTAAAATCGATTTCTGTACTCCTCCCTGACGAGGGTATTAGTGCTGAACTCGACATCGCCAGGTCGAATTTGGGGTAGTGTGGACGCAATTCGATGGTATTGGCCTCCAGGAGCTCCATTGTGACCACTCTCGACTGCACTTTCAACTCAGATGCACTAGCCAGGTACACAGGAAAAGCACTAGGAACTTTTGAATTTCATTTCCTGTTTGGCCAGCGTGGCGAGCTCATCAGCAGAGGTGACCATGCAGTCCCAAAATTGCAAAAGAGCTCCAGCATGGACCGAATGGGAGGTACTGGATCTGATCGCTGTATGGGGAGACAAAGCCATGCTATCAGAACTCTGCTCCAAAAGACGAAATGCCAATATATTTGAAAAAATCTCCAAGGGCATGATGGACAGAGGCTATAACTGGGACCTGCAGCAGTGCCGCGTGAAAATTAAGGCGCTCAGGCAAGCCTACCAAAAAACCAAAGAGGCAAACAGCCACTCCGGGTCAGAGCCCCAGACATGCCGCTTCTATGATGAGCTGCATGCAATTTTAAGGGGTGCCCCTACCACTACCCCACCCCTGTCCGTGGACACCTGCAAGGGGGGAGTCTCAAGCAACAGGGATGAGGATTTTGGGGATGAGGAAAATGATGAGGAGGAGGAGGACAGCACCCAACAGGCAAGTGGAGAAACTGTTCTCTCCAACAGCCAGGAACTGTTTATTACCCTGGAGCCAACACCCTCCCAAGGTGGGCTCCCGGACCATGAAGCCGGAGAAGGCACCTCTGGTGAGTGTACCTTTGTAAATATAATACATGGTTTAAAAGCAAGCGTGTTTAATGATTAATTTGCCCTGAAGACTTGGGATGCATTCGCAGCCAGTACAACTACTGCAAAAGTCTGTTAACGTGTCTGGGGATGGAGCAGAAAGCCTCCAGGGACATTATTAAGGGGACATTCAGAGGTGGCCATTCCTGCTGGGCTGTTTGCCTGTGGCCGAAAATAAATCATCCCTGCCTTTAGCCATACGGTGGTGGGGGTAGGGGGGGTTAATGCTGAGCTGTCTGCGTTTGGCTGGGAGCGATCTTCCCTGATACTAGTCACTAAGTTCCATGAAAGTGCCCTTACGGACGCAAAAGTTTTGCAGCCACTGGGAATCATCCCAGACCTGCAACACTATGCAGTCCTACCCAGTCTGTGCTTGTTTCCTGGGTCCAGAATTGGCATTCCAGGGCATGAGCCTGCCCCATTGCCACCAGGATGTCCAAATTGCCGGGGCCCGTACTTTGAGAGAAGTCTGTGTCCATGTCCTCATCATTCTTGTCACTGCACTGCCATCGCCTCCTCGCCTGCTTTTGCAGGTTCTGGTTCTGCACATACTGCAGGATAATGCATGAGGTGTTTACAATGCTCATAACTGCTGCGGTGATCTGAGCGGGCTCCATGCTTGCCGTGGTATGTCGTCTGCAGGAGAGCAGAGTTGCAGCGGAAGCGGTGGATTACGACAGTTAGCACCGTGCACATTTCCCGAGGAAGAACACACATACCCAGGAGCCCATGACAGACAACATGGAGAAATTCGCTATTGAGACAATAGCAGCAGAGCAGAGTTGCAGCGGAAGTGGTGGATGACAACGGTTAGCAGTCCTACTGCACCGTCTGCTGAAAGCAGTATGGCGTCCGCACAGAAAAAAGAAGTGAAACAACTGTCTGCCGTTGCTTTCACGGATGAGGGGCGACTGACATGTACTCAAAACCACCCGCGACAATGTTTTTGCCTCATCAGGCATTGGGAGCTTAACCCAGAATTCCAATGGGTGGCAAAGACTGTGGGAACTGTGGGATAGCTACCCACAGTGCACCGCTCCGTAAGCCGATGCTAGCCATGGTAGTGAGGACGCACTCCATCAACTTAATGCGTTTAGTGTGGACATACACAATTGACTGTATAAAATCGATTTCTAAAAATCGACTTCTATAATGACAGGTTTCAGAGTAACAGCCGTGTTAGTCTGTATTCGCAAAAAGAAAAGGAGTACTTGTGGCACCTTAGAGACTAACCAATTTATTTGAGCATGAGCTTTCGTGAGCTACAGATAAATTGGTTAGTCTCTAAGGTGCCACAAGTACTCCTTTTCTTTTTGACTTCTATAATATTGACCTAATTTCATAGTGTAGACATACCATCAGACAAACAAGTTTGTTTACATTTGCGGAAGATAATGCTGCCCGCTTGTTTACAATGTCACCTGAAAGTGAGAACAGGCGTTCGCATGGCACTGTTAGAATCACAGAATCATAGAATATCAGGGTTGGAAGAGACCTCAGGAGGTCATCTAGTCCAACGCCCTGCTCAAAGCAGGACCAATCCCCAACTAAATCATCCCAGCCAGGACTTTGTCAAACCTGACCTTAAAAGCCTCTAAGGAAGGAGATTCCACCACCTCCCTAGGTAACCCATTCCAGTGCTTCACCACTCTCCTAGTGAAAAAGTTTTTCCTAATATCCAACCTAAATGTCCCTCACTGCAACTTGAGAGCATGGAATCTAGCTGGCATCACAAGATATTTATGTGCCAGATGCGCTAAAGATTCATATGTCCCATCATGCTTCAACCACCATTCCAGAGGACATGCTGATGGGTTCTGTTTGATAACAATCCAAAGCAGTGCAGACTGATGCATGTTCATTTTCGTTATCTGAGTCAGATGCCACCAGCAGAAGGTTGATTTTTTTTTTTTTGGTGGTGGTGGTTCAGGTTCTGTAGTTTCTGCATTGGAGTGTTGTTCTTTTAAGGCTTCTGAAAGCATGCTCCACACTTCATCCCTCTCAGATTTTGGAAGGCACGTCAGATTCTTAAACCTTGGGTCAAGTGCTGTAGCTATCTTTAGAAATCTCACATTGGTACTGTGACGTTGCACTCCATATTTTTATAAAAATATGTTTATAAGTGTGGATATGATGTAACTGGAATATGCTTTATGAAAGAGGTATCTTGTAAGGTATCATTACAAAGCTTATAATCTACTGACTGTGGTCATCCTTTTTGTATGAATGTATCATTCTTGTATCTGAAACTAGGAATATTAAATATAACTCTGAGGTCCTACTGTAATTATGCAAAGTGTGGGCCATTAATGGTAGTTTGGAATCTTGATGGCTCCCATCAACCAGGACAATTGGTTGTAAATGGCTCTGTTTACTTGTAAGACTTCCTGTATACATGTGTGCCAGCACGTGGGTAATGAAGCCTCACAGGACATGTGATCATGTCACCTGAACTGGAATACATCTTTAACCTGGTGCTTTTCCATTTAGAAGGAGAGGTGGGGACTCAGAGAGAGACAAAGATTCCCGCCTTGTGCTAAAGCTATTAAAGGGGGTGGAACAGAACAAAGTGGGCTGCAGTCATGAGAAATCTCCTAGTTACCACCTGAGCTGGAACTAACAAGAACTGTACCAGGGGAAAGGATTGGGCCCAGACTAAGAAGGAGTCTAGTCTGTGAAAGAAGCTTATTGGAACATCTCTGAGGGTGAGATTTACCTGTATGCAGATTCTCAATGTATTAGGCTTAGACTTGCGTGTTTTTGCTTTATTTTACTTGGTGACTTACTTTGTTCTGTCTGTTATTACTTGGAACCACTTAAATCCTACTTTTTATACTTAATAAAATCACTTTTGTTTATTATTAAACCCAGAGTAAGTGATACCTGGGGGAGCACACAGCTGTGCATATCTCTCTATCAGTGTTATAGAGGCCGGACAATTTATGAATTTACCCTGTATAAGCTTTATACAGAGTAAAGCGGATTTATTTGGGGTTTGGAGCCCATTGGGAGCTGGGTGTTTGGGTGCTGAAGACAGGAACACTTTCTGAGCTGTTTTCTGTTAAGTCTGCAGCTTTGGGGGCGTGGTTCAGACCCTGGGTCTGTGTTGCACCAGGCTTGTGTGTCTGGCTCAACAAGACAGAGTTCTGGAGTCCCAAGCTGTCAAGGTTCCTTCCCCACTCTGAACTCTAGGGTACAGATGTGGGGACCTGCATGAAAACCTCCTAAGCTTACTTTTACCAGCTTAGGTTAAAACTTCCCCAAGGTACAAAATTTTTTTACCCTTGGATTTCCATTGCCACCACCAAATTTTATCTGGGTTTACTGGGAAACGTGGTTTGGACATGTCTTTCCCCCCAAAATCCTC